TCAGATTGAAATACATAGAAGTTTTTTTTTATTCCTTCTAAACCATTGTTCTCTTTGAAATCTGCTTCAGCATACTTGCTCTTTTTGGCTTCTTTTACTATTTTTAGCTTTTAGCTACCGTTCTGCTACTTTTGACTTTTAGCTAGCCTTTTGACATTTTTAGATCTCAGCTAGAGATTTATTGTCTCTTGCTAACATTTTCCTCCTTTTAGCTTAAAGCTATCTTTTTGCTACTGTTAACTTTTAGCTAGCATTTATTTTCCTGCTTTTGGATAACATTTTGCTACCTTTAATTAGCCTTTTGCTACTTTTCACTTTTAGCTAGCAAATTTCTAGGTTTTTACAGTCTTTTCTTGATTTTTATGCTACTTTTATGCAGCATTTTGCCTCTTTTAGCTTGCACTGTGCTTGTTTAGCTTTAAAGTTTCAGTTTCTTAAATTATTTTTTTGTTATTCTTCAGCTTACATCATTCATTCTTCATTTTCTGAAAATAAAAACAATATCTCTAGTTTGGCTTGTGGCACTGAGGAATAAACTAATATTTTTTTTGTAAATGTATGTATTTTCTTTTCACAGGTCAGATGGAGAGGACCAACATGCCAAAAAAAACTGCTTCAGGTAGACCATGTTATGTTCTGTGGTTTTGAGTAGTCCATCTTTCAGCGGCCATAAATTGCTTTTTTTATTTTTATGTTTTGTGTTTTTGCAGGGAGCCACATAGCAAAATAGAAAAAAGGAGACGAGATAAAATGAACAAACTCATCGACAAGCTCTCAGCCATGATACCGACGTGTAACCCCATATCTCGTAAACTGGACAAACTCACGGTGCTCCGATTGGCGGTGCAGCACCTGAAGTCTCTCAAAGGTGCCCAGTCGATCCGTGGCCTTGAGTTTCAAGGATGATAAACATTGACTGCTCCCAGTTTTTCAGAAACCCCACAAAATAGATTTGTAATAATTACTTTAATCGTCTCTAGGACAAACTATAAAGCTGTAAGTCTACTGAATTATCCGTTACCTGGAACTGGACTAATGCTGTCAATCCTTTCAGGGTCAGCGAGCGCCTTTTCTGAAACAAGCTATAAACCATCATTCCTTCCAGAGGAGGAGCTAAGACATTTAGTCCTCAAGGTAAACAACAAAACTGGTTCCTATTTGGACATTTTGTTGAAAGACCTCATCTGTCAATGGCCTGTTGAACTCCTAACTCAAAAGCAACACAGCAAGAGTACATTATGCCTTAAATTTAAAGAGAACATGCTGTTTTTGCTTTTTGATGTTCAAATTGTCATGTTTTAGTTTTTGGTCACAATTTCAAGATACATTTTATTCACAATTAACAAAATTGTAAAATCTACTTGATGATAAAAATGCAGATTTTAAAAACAAAAGGTAATATTAAAGTGCTGGATAGCATTGTGTTTTGTCTTCTTGCTCTCATCACATCGTCTCTTCTCCGGGTCTTGGTTGTGCAGGCTGCAGACGGGTTCCTGTTTGTTGTTGACTGCGATCGAGGGAAAATAGTGTTCGTCTCTGAGTCCATTTCGAAGATACTGAATTACAGCCGGGTAACATTTTTTATTTTTACACACAATGGTGCAAAAAACCCTAAGCACACCAGATGGTTTGTGTTAATTTTACCATCATTGTCAGTAGACTGGAATCCTGAAGGTGTGGGTGATTCCAAAAGATTAATTTAGTAAATTTTACATGTATGGATGTAAATTATTGAGTTAACCTATTATTATGTGCATAATAGTTGTAAATAAATTAGACTCAACAATAAATTGACTCAGTTTATGCTGTGCTCAGTCTGCAACACTTAATTTAATCAGATTATATAAAGTTAAACATATGGCTGATATAGTTGTAATCAGGAGTTGTTAGGTGTCTTAAACGTGTATTTCTCTCCTCATGGAAGCTTTGTGTCAGTCAGCCTGGTGAGCTGTTTGGTTCTTTTTAGGCGGAGCTGATTGGACAGAGCCTGTTTGATTACATCCACCCTAAGGATATGGGCAAAGTGAAGGAGCAGCTGTCAGCTTCTGAATTACACCCTCGTGAACGGCTAATAGATGCTAAAAGTAAAGCATTTATTTTTGTCTCTGCGTGCCTGTGTGTGTGTGTAGGAGTGTGTAGGTAAACCTAACCCTCCCTGTGTCTTCAGCTGGTGTGCAGGTCCAAGCTGACCTTCCTGTTGGTGCATCCCGGTTATGTTCAGGCGCTCGTCGCTCTTTCTTTTGTCGGATGAAATACAACAAAATACCTGTGAAAGTGGAGGAGAAGGAATCCCAGGCCAACTCCTCCAAAAAGAAAGGTGAGAAAACAAAATATCCCCAGTTAACTTAAGGGATTTCTAAATATTAGATACTTGTAAACAAATATATTAATTTGTGTGTGTTTGTGCGTGTGTGTGCTGGATGGGATTTTGTGTCTGTTTCTGATTAGAGTCACAGAAGTACTGCACAGTCCACTGCACAGGCTACATGCGCAGCTGGCCCACCAGTCAGATGTCGTCAGAGGGCAAAGGGGAAGCAGACAAGCAGGATAACTCCTTCTTCAGCTGCCTGGTGGCAGTGGGACGCGTTCACTCCCATTCGACTCCGCAAGTTAATGGAGAGGTCCGAGTTAAACCCACGGAGTTCATCACACGCTACACCATGGATGGCAAATTCACCTTTGTTGATCAAAGGTACATGTGAATTTTTGGTAACAAGATGGAGACGGGTGTGTGTTGTTGATTGAACTGTGGAAGTTGGTTGAGCTTGAAAACGTATCATGGTTTGTTTCTACAAGAAACTACTGTGAACTGATGAAGAAATTATTACATTAGTACAGTTTTTTTTTTTGTCCACACAGAAACTGTTTTTCCAAAACTGTATATTTGGCATTTCTAAAAATGTCCTCAAACTGGGCACAACTAGGCCTTTCACAGTAGAAGTTGGAAAAATGGGCCTTACAAAGTAACATAAACAAAGACACACACACACACACACACACACACACACACAAACGTTTGTTTTATATCCTAATAAAAGACCAACTAGCAGATTTTCAAACAGACTTGTATAGTACATCTTATTATTTACTATGGGCAATACCCACTTATGGACAGTATGTAGTTTTGCTGTGCTTTTATTTTTATTACTTTAATTGCATGAATTGTATGAATGTAAGAAGGGGACAGGTGTATTTATTGCAGGCACCTTACAGGAGCTGTACTCATACTTACCTTGAGTTTTTATGATGCAATGACAAGATTCAGGTATTCTGATAGTGATTTGAGAGCATGCAATGTATTTTTACTAAAAAAACTTCAGTTTCATAATCAATACTAATGAAATACAAAATTATATAAATTAACTTTTTGTACCTCATTAGAAGTTATAGTAATTTGATGGGAGATTTTGTCTTTCAGTTCTAAACAACAGTGAAGATTTCCTGATGCATGCTCAATAATCCAGGTAGAAAAATCCAAAAAAGTTCAATCTGGTCCTCTGGACATTAAAAAAAAAAAAAAACTGTGAAGATTCCAACTAAGGCCCCCCGTCCACACGGGAATGTTGTTTTATGAATATGCAAAGGGTTTTTATTTATTGTGTTTTTAAGACAGATAATTGTGCATCATTTTCTTAGTCTTGCACCCACACTGACAACATATTAGGAGCCCCTGAATGGTGTTTAATTTTTTTTATATAAATAAACTGGTTCCAGCAGAGGGAAAAGAATATTGGAATTCCATCCTTGTGTTTTTTTTTGTGCAGAAAAGCACACCCTTTTGAACAACATGTAACAGTCCCAGTTCTTGCCTAACTAACAACTCTGAAAGTTACAACAATAATGACAGGAACTTGTTATTTAAAGACAAGATATTTGTGCATCACTTACTTATCCTGATGTGCTTTGAATATTGAAAGGAAACCCCTTCCCTCCAGTCACCCCTTGCTGGATACTATGCCTGAAAAGTGTCTATATTCAAAGTGGACAATTATGTTTGTGCATTTAAAGTAACAAGACTCTCAGTCAGCATGACACAAAAAAATCTGGTTTTGGCTCTCGTATTCGCCATCCCCTTCCCTTTCTTCTCCTGCATCAAGTTTATAGCACACGCTCAACACCTTGTTTCTTATTTTTATATACGCTTGTTACAGCGCCACGCACAGGATTGGCATAATGACTACAGCATTTTAGGTTGTTTCCGTAAGGATGAAAACATTTCTAGAAGTTGTGCCTAGGCCTGTAGCGAATCACAATAAACAATACATCAATTAATCGCATGATAAATGAAAATTATCAACATCATTTTCCATTTATCGGCTTTATCATCTCATTGTGTCTCTCTCTTTCTACTGAAGACACTGTACAAAAGGCTCAACTATGGTGCTCTTCACTGACTCCTCCCCCTTTCTCTTTTCTCTTTCAAATCCATTTTAACCATCCAAAATCGTGTTTTTGGTTTGTTAAAAGCAGCTAAGCTGAGAAGCTAAGCTAACAGACCGACCTCGGCAATAAACCTCCGTCTTGTCAAAGCTCTAAAATTCACTGTTGAAACCCGTGTCTTCAGGTAAAAAGTTGTTTTTCTCTGCAAAAAGAAGCTGAGAACTTGTTTACGGATTTTTTTAATTAAAAGCTTTGTATGGAAAATGCTAAAGAGCTCAAACCACACTGAGCCTCCGCCATTTTGAGAACCAAAAAACAGGAACGAGAGACAGCCCATGTCACATCCAGGGGCCTCCCTCCCATTTTTCTTAAAGAGACACGCTGCTCACTCCCTCACTATCCATCCTTTGGTTCAAACAGTCTTATACTGCCATCCGGTGGTTGAAAAAGGCACTACACACAAAAATTAACCAACATTTCTTCTTAAATTTGACGATAATTACTAATTATCGTCAAATTTCAAACAATATTATTGTTTATCTCAATAATTTCCGAGGCAATTAATCGCCCAGCAAAATTTATTATCGTGACAACGTGAGGACCAACTGCTCCGCCCAAAGCCTGGGCCCCATAAGAAGAAGTACCATTGGTGGGTTAGGGGTTAGATTTAGGACTAAGGTGTGAATTGAGGATGTGTTAGGTTTAGGGTAAAGGACCGGGTTAGGCTATAGAAATTAATGAAAAATGAATGGAAGTCAATGCAAAGTCCCTATAAAGATAGCAAAACAAACCTGTGTTTGTGTGTTAAGTTTGGATTTTGAGCACTAAGCAATTAAATAAAAACAGTATTAGTGGTAATAATAATGTAAAAAATGATCTTTCTTCCCAGGGCAACAACCTTTCTTGGTTATCTTCCACAAGAACTGATTGGGACTTCGTGTTATGAATACTTCCATCAAAATGACTTACTACATTTAGCTGATAAACATCGAAAAGGTAAAAAGGCTTTCATTGGATCCCTACCTTTTCTTTTTTCTTCTTTAAAACCTTTTACAGAGTCTACAATGATTTGTTTGTTTTGACTGTAATTACAATATTACAGCATTTAATTTTTGTTTAAAAACTCCCAACTTCAATTTAGTCAAGTCTATTTTTGCTTCCTACCTGCCGTCTTTGTTGTATTTTTTAGTATTTCTTGTAACTTGCTCTCTTGGTTTCTTTTTCTCTCAGTGCTGCGAAGTAGAGAGAAGATCGAGACGAACTGCTATAAATTCAAAACGAAATTCGGATCTTTTGTCACGCTGCAAAGCCAGTGGTTCAGTTTTGTAAACCCCTGGAACAAAGAAGTGGAATACATAGTGTCTACTAACAGAGTTATATCGTGAGCATATGCTTCTATGATTAGTTTTCTATTTGAAAATGACATTGTGCATGGATTGAGCTGATCTTTGTTCTTCATTTCATGTTAAGACATGACAACGGTCGAACAGGACGATCAGGAAATAAATCTGAACAGTCGAGCGATTCCAAGACTTCAGAAGGTCAGCTGGCGGGAATCAATAAACATGTTTTTTTCACCTTTCAGACATGTACTGTAGTGATGTCTTGTCACAATGTTGGTTGCAAAATAGGCTACAAGTATTAAAATCAAACAAAAAAAATTTGATGTTTTGCAAGACCCAACTTCACACACAAAATGCATGAAAGAAATTTAGCTCTTCGCCTTTTGTGGGTTTGTCTGCATGAAGCTGTAAGAATCATTATAAAAATTTAACACTGATTCTCTAATTAGCAGATTATTAATTTGACACAATGACTCAAAAAGGCTTAGCATCTAAAAATGCATATTTTGAAGTGGCGGCACAACAAATTTTTTTTCTTCCTTTTAAGATGGCAAAAAGTCTCTTCCAGTCATACCAGGCATCTCCTCTGCACCTGGAACTATGATCTACCCTGAAAACATAGGAACACAGATTGCTAACGAGCTCCTGGATTTCAACAAGTAAGGCATGACTGCAGTTATTAATGACAGAATCATGATGAAAACTTCAGACAACCTCATTTACTCTTATACATTTACACAGATAGAGCTGTTTTTCACTCTATGGTTTCCAGATGGGGCAGCACGGTGGCGCAACTGGTAGAGCTGCTGCCTCTCAGTGAGCAGGTCCCTGGTTCAAACCCGGGTCCAGGGGCCTTTCTGGGTGGAGTTTGCATGTTCTCTCCGTGCATGCGTGGGTTTTCTCCGGGTACTCCGGTTTCCTCCCACAGACCAAAAACATGCATGTTAGGCTGATTGGTAACTCTAAATTGCCCCTAGGTGTGTGTGAGAGAGTGAATGGTTGTTTGTCTCGTTTGTCTCTACGTGGCCCTGTGATGGACTTGCGACCCGTCCAGGGTGTACCCCGCCCCTCGCACAGTGATTGCTGGACATGGGCACCAGTGACCCCCGTGACCCAAAATGGAATAAGCGGGTAAAGATAATGGATGGATGGATGGATGGTTTCCAGATGTGAAACTTTTTTTTAAATGCTGAGTGATTCAATATTAATTTGATTTGTGTTGGTTTCTTTAGGCTGAACTCATCACCTCCAAGTGGGAGCGTCAGTCCGTTCAGTGTGCAACAGGATAAATCTCCTCGAACTCCTAATCAAATCAGCAACAGCGTAAGTCTTTTTGTGTGAGCCACTTAACACACCAAACACCTTCTCATCCACAAAACTGCTCAGTCCATGTGAAACATTAACAAGCTATCTTTAAAGGTTGTTTTTCTCAGACAATCACTGCGTTTCCCCGGGCATTATCGCCTGTATGCATACGTTATCAGTAGGGAAGTTCAAGTTCGTAAACGGAAACGCTAATTTTCACACTTGGATGGCAGAAAGCAAACGGCTAACGATGAACAAGATGCTAAAGAAGACAACCAATCCCTTATTAGTCCATTTAGATTGATTAATTTATGATAATAAACCTATCCCCAGAGACTGTGACATGTGGCAAAACTTCTTTATAGTTTTGGTCAAGGCCTACCTGATCTGTACAGGCTGAGAAGTAGATGAAAGAACGACCCAACACGTCGACCAAACGATGATAACGCTGATATTTGAGAGGATCTGATCAAATCTCTGGGGTCTTTAACCAAAGTTGCTGAATATCACTAGAAATATAGTATACCAGGTATAATTAATTAGCATAATTTTACAAGTCTCTTTCTTGTAAGGTAATTTTAAGTTACTTTGTAATGTATAAATATCGCCCTTTTAAATATAAAGTTAAATAAAGTTAAATTAACCACCCTTTTATTGACAAGCTTTAGTTTTATCACTAAATGGTAAATAGACTGTACTTATATAGCACTTTTCTATCTTATCAAGATAATCAAAGCTCTTTACACTACAATCTGTGCCCTCATTTACCCATTCATACAGCACTCTACAATATCTGTACAAAGAATAATCGGTGCTTTATCACATTCATACACCGATGGGACACACATCAGGGGCAATGAGGGGTTCATTGTCTTGCCCAGAGACACTTCAGCATGTGACTGCTGGTGGACTCAAACCCTAAACTCTTGCATTGCAGGATGACTGCTCTAATCACTCAGCCACAGCTGCCCCCAATCTCATTTTGACTTGTGAACATTCACATGAGGGTTGTCGTGTTTGAACATTGTAGTTTATGGTCGTTCTTGTTGCTAAAAGTTCTTGAATGTTTAAAAATGCACGATTTATAATAACAGACAAATGAGACAGACAATCAACAGAATCGATGCAAAAGCCACTATTTATTTTTTTCATATTTTATCATTTACTGAATTACATTCAGCCTAAACTGTTGCACCCAAAACAAAATAAAAGCTTAAGGGAAGCGCTAGAGTTTTGTCTTGTTCCTACAGTGTCACTAGTGAAAACCAACATGAGGTTTTTACACAAGTGCTGCAGCCTAACAAAACCTTTTTTCTTGTAGTTGATGTTTACTTCAACATTTTAATCATATCTGAAAATTGTTTTGCAGCAGATAAATGTGAGAAAGATCTGTAATATTACAGATTTTACATCAATACTAGGAAACGTCAAACTGCAAGCAGCAGGTGTTAGATATTTGCAGTTTTGTTTACTTGTCGGGATGGAAATCTTTAACTACTTCACAACTGGATTACAATTCAGAGGACTGCGATGCGATTATAAAACATTTAATGATGCATTTAGATTATTTGAAACTTAAGGCTTATTTTACTTAAACACTGCTTTTTATATTTTCATGCCTAAAAATGTTCAAAATAAAACATATTAATAAAAAAAAACGCATTAATCTGAGGCTGCTGACCAATAGTTAGCATAGATGCTAACAATTTAACATTAAAAATGCTTAATTGGTTTAGCATCATGTTTATTTCTGAACAGTTTCAAAGTCATTACTGAGTAATCTCATTGACGATTCAGTGGCTCAATTTTATCACCAAGCAACTGATCCTTTTGATCGTTTCCCTCCTTCAGTACACATTAATAAAATACGTCTACTTTCTTTTGGTCTCTAGGTGCCAAATGGAGAAACTTCGGACATGGAGATACCAGGAAAGTCAAGCTCAGACAGTGAGCCTCAAGGAGCTTCGTTCTCAGGAGGAGAGACACTAATGGGTACTCCATCAGACACTGTTAATAGGCTTCTGTGTAAACTTTGTTTCACTTCTCTGTTATAAATGCCCCACATTTGTTTTGTTTTGTCTCTTACATCAGGGGACAATCCGCAGCTGGACTTGGACAGTGTCGTTGGACCTGGCCTCCACAGTCTTACCAATGACGAAGCAGCCATGGCGGTGATCATGAGCCTTCTGGAGACGGACGCAAACCTGGGAGAAGTGGACTTTGAAGAGATGCACTGGTCTTTGTAGAATTTGTTTTTACAGCTACTGAGAAACATTTTGGGACCTACAATGCTAACTTCAGACGGCAGCATATTGTTTTATTTTCTTAAAGATGTTTAAATTATTCTTTTCCCCGTTCGGACATAAGCTGGTGTTTTGGTGGCTGCACTAATAAGGTCAGGACTGGTAATGATGTGGGACACAGTTTTCCAGTGATACGCCTCTGAGGCCTTACAGCAGTTTGTCCTGAAACGCTGTTCCTCACTAAATCGTTCTGCTGCACATGGTAGAAGAATCAACAGACCCAGACTATGATGAACTAGGTATACTCCCTCATATTTTCTCTTCCCCTTCTTTTAAGAGTAAAAATACAAGCTAAACAAGTCTGACTTGATGAAAGAAAACTTGGAATTTCACTCGGTACTGTATGATTTAATTGAATTAAAATATAGTGTGAGGAAGATAGCCTGGCCCGTCTCTGCAGTGCCTCAGGATCTGAACCGTAAGTATCAAGTACACAATGGCAAACCACACTTCCAGAAAGTCTTTGACTTTCACATATGATGTACTCAGAGTTTCTCTTATTAGTACCTGAACGTCTTTCATGGTAACTGCCCTGTAAACCTCTTCTGTTGTGCACTGTCCCAAACGAGCTGTGAACGTGTGGCGTCAGACTGCAGACATGCGTTCAGGCCGTATGTGTCTTAAAGGAACCGTTCATTTAGGAAGACCTGGATTTTATAGTCTCTGGCTTCAAACTTGATGTTTTTATATATTGGGAGGAGAAAGCTGTTCAATAACTCCTATGGATTTGTGAGCAAATGACTTTAAAAGTGCTGAAACTGAGACTCAGTGTGAAGTAGAAGAGGTAACTCAGGAAGTTTTCCATGCTTTCCTACCTGTTGTACCGTACAGAGCTAATTTGTGCTGCCACGAGCGTCACCTGCTTGTTGTTACTGTTTTATAGTTTTGCAGGTAAATCATTACTTCAGCCATGTTTTTCTTTGTTTTTAATGTATTATGCACTGACAAGTTTCCAGTTATTCTATTATTGTGTGTGTGTGTATGTGTGTGTGTTTATTTGGAAGCACACGGCATCTTCATGTTCATATTAGGACATTGTGCTATGCAGAACTGTCATTCCGTGGAAGCTAAATTTAAATGTTTAATTATTTCTCTACGTCACGGTTTGTGCAGGACTCCTGAAGTCTTTATTTAACGTGGAGTCCCATAACTTTATAGATCCTGTCTCTTGTTTACCTCATGTAGTTGCATAAATTGGCTTTTAGATGGGAGATTAAACAAACATTATGTTATAATGATCTCTTTGCTGGCGATCCACTGTTTTAACTGATGGTTTTTGAGTTTTATAAATGGCATTACAAAAGCATGTAAATGTGCTATCATGGTGGATCGGTGGCACTTTGTACTCATCCCCCTTGTTAAATGGTAGAAAACAACATTTTCTATAAAGTAATACTTGCATATAAATTAATTTATTGTGTGATTAAGCAAGATTAACAGATGGTGTGTTGTTTTCAAACGTATTCCAGATCCTGGGGACTGCAGTGTATGTGGCATTTACCCATTTAATTTGAAGTGTGCGCAGAGTTGGAAAACTAAAGAAGTTTAATAACTGAACTTGATTTTGTCAGAAGAGTTGTCTATGTGTACTTTACCCTTGATAACTGTAAACCTGAACGTTACAGGGAGTAGCTTAGATTTTGTGTTGGTGTCTCGGGTCACAAAACAGTCGTTTTTCAAGGACTGTTAAAGAATTTTCAGTGAAAACTCTTGTTTCAAGGTTCAAAATGGGTCGTGATTCACAAAAACAGCTGTCTAAAAACAAAATGCTTGAATTATGAGGATGGAACTGTTGAACTCACAGGGATCCTCCTGCTTTGTGTCCGAAGTGCCTTTGGACATTTCTGCTCGGACGCACAACGGACCTGTGGTTTCCTTTCTCTAACGGAGGGCTGAAATGGATTCACTTGAAGCACGAACTGTGCTGATCATAAACGAACCGAATGACTGTTCAGAGATGAAACGAGCTGAACACGCTGGCTTCAAGTCTCACTACCTGTAACTCAAACGTGGAACCATAAATGCAGGCTGGGCTTTCTCAGAGAAGATATGTTTTGTACAATTCTTGTTGTGCTTCTTTTTCCATCTTTGCACCGATTTAGCTGTAATTTCTCCAGAAAGCTAATATATTTCCAACACATCAGTGTTTCTTTTTTTCCCTTTTTGTCTTTATTTTAAATAAAAAATGTAGTTTTTGTAAGACGGGAAATTGTTTTATTTACACGTCCATCTTTTTGTGTGGTTTCACATCCTCTTTAGTTACATCAGTAGACACGGGGGGTGGTTTTGCTCCAGAGGATGAACCCGAACGTTACAGATTGTTTTAAGCAGTTTTGCTGCTGCCTCTGTGATATTTTGTTTTCCTCCTCTTGATTTTCAGACTACACAGATTTAACTGGGTTATCAAGTTATTAGTTATAGATTTCCTGAATTTTGAGTGAAAATAGTCGGAATATTTTTTATGAAGCTGTATTTGGTCCAATCAGAAATAAAGTAAAATGATTTTGTGAATCATTTTCCCAGTTGTGGCCCTTTTGTTTAGATTTGTGTCGTGGTGCACTCAGTCTGGTTTGAGGTTATTTTCATTATTTTATTCGTCAAACGAGAAGGCAGGGGTCTGTGGAATTAGGAAACATGGAATATGTTGGATTTTGTTGTTCAGAGATAATTGTTTTACAGAGAGCTGTTCGTGTAAGTGAGGAGTTTTGCTTAGATTTCCACGATGGGTCAGGTACTTTTTTTATTTTCTAACTATTCACAGAAAAGTAACGATGTGCTGTGTCAAGTACAAAAAGCAAGTTATTAACACTGATGGAGTGATGTGGACAAGTGTCCCAGTTTGTTCAGATTTTACTTACAGAGGAATTTTATATTCTCAAGACAAGTACTAACTATAACACCATTCATTCATTCGACCTTTATTTATGCAGGCTAGTCTCATTGAGCCACGAGGACTCGTTTACAAGAGGGACCCGCAGAAGACCTGTCAGAATACAACCGCTGCGTCTGTCTGTAGATGGATAAACACTAAAATGACCAGCAAGTCTGAAGTCAAAAGGAAATGTTACTTTCACAATATTTAGATTGTTTTGCTCAATTCTGGGGAATAAAATAATGAAAAATATGATTATGCATGCACAAATTGGGTAAAAAATATTGCTGAGCTTTACAAAACTTTGACCCATAATGTTGAACTTTAATCGTCTGCGACAAATTAATGTATATTTAATTTTTCATTAATTCTTTGTGTGTTTGGATATGCATGTCATCTGACATCCATCAAGCAGTGCTCCAGCACCTTCTGCACTCTTATTTCCAGCAGCCTGGGATGTAACAAACTTCAGTATTAAAAACTGACTGGTCCAATCCTGCTTTGGAAATAAACATTCATGTTTTCTTATTGTTCCACATCCATCCATCCATTATTTTCTGCTTGTTCTGAAGTCAGGTCGCAGGGGCAGCAGCTTGAGCAGGGAGGCCCAGACATCTCTTTCCACAGCACATTGTTTTTAGTTTTTATTTTACCTTTATTTATACAGGTAGTCTCATTGAGTCATGAGGACTCATTTTCAAGAGAGACCTGTTTGGGAGCAGATGGTGTTTAAGGGTCCAGAGTAGGGCAAATAAGGGTGGAGGCAGGTGTGGGTGTTTCACCTTTCCCACCCATATTTTTATGTTGTCGGTCCGGGAAGTCGAACAGGTGACCTTCCGATCACAGGCCCACCTTCTCTAACCTCTGTTCCACCACTCCCCACATAGAAATTAAAAGGTTCTTGTACAAGAAGATCAAAATAAGCAAAATGTTTTCAGGCTGATGTTCTGTTCATATTACAAGGTTCAATGTTCTTTATTGTCATTTGCATCACCATGTGGTACATGAGGTGGAACAAAATTATGTAAGCAAGGTCCCAGTTACACCCAAAAAATAGTAAAAATATAAAGTATATAAAAAAGAAACGGTTAACAAGGATCTATGTACGCTAAACAATAATAATGTAATATAATATGGTGTATTAAATGATTATGATCTGTAATGGTGGCTACAAAGAGCAGAGGTCACAAAGGTGCAGGACTTACTTGGGGTCCACTGTCCAGGATAATGAGGAGTGTGGTAAAGATGTGAAAAAGAGAGTCCAGGCAGGATGGAGTGGATGGAGAAAGTTTCAGGAGTGATTGTGATAAAAAGAGTGTCAGCAAAGGAAAAAAAAAGAAGTTTAGATTACAGTGGTGAGACCAGCTATGGTCTGGAGATAGAGACATGGACAAAAAGACAGGAGAAAGAACTGGAAGTGGCAGAACTGAAGATGTTGAGGTTCTCCTAAGGAGTGACGAGGATGGGTAAGATTTGGAATAGATCATCAGAGATACAGCACAGGTTGAACAACTGGGAGATAAAGTTAGAGAGACCAGACTGAGATGGTTTGGACATGTCCAGAGGAGGGACAGTGGGTATATTGGTAAAAGGATGTTAGAAATGCAGCTGCCAGGAAAAAGACAAAGAGGAGATATGTGGATGCAGTTAGAGAGGACATGGAGTTGGAGTGAGGACAGAGGATGCAGAGTGAGGAGGAGGAACATAAATTAAAAATCATAATCAACAACTTCATTGATTTATGATTCTCTCAGATTTCTGACCTATATATTATTGCCTTTAATGACATAAAAATCTTACAGCAGAAGAAATTTGTTACAGACAGAAATAAAAATTAAGAAAAAATTTCTTTGAGGTCTTTGAATTGTTTCCTTAAACTTGAATTAAACTCTTCTAAAAAATATTTTAACTTTTTTGATTTAATATCACTAATCATTAGGTCCTTACACTTTTCCTTTAGGTCCTTTTCTGGTTCATTTAAAATATTAAAATACATGCATAAAATGTTTAAAGAAAACATCCCATTCTTTTTAAAATTAATCTACGTTTTATGTCCCTGGGTAGACTTGTTGATTCTGCTGCTGCTTTTACTCCTGATTTATTTCCACAAATGACTGGTTTAAAATCATTATCTTAACTCTGGAGTCACGAGGTGTTAACAAACACTTGTAATTTCTGCAGGTCAGGGGATGAGTTGACCTTAATTCTGTTAATTCTCAGTTTAAAGCCACACACTTGACAGATTCAAAGGTTCACCTGAATGCCTGTAATATGCTCCAGCTGAACAAATTATTTCTGTTTTGTTCTTAGGATGTCTTTTAGTGTTTTAGATCTCTGATCTGTGAGTTTCCTTTTTGTAACTGAACTGTCGGAGGGTGAGTCAGCAGAGAAGTTCCACACACACTGGATGATAACGGGGTGTAAGAAGAAATGAGTTTTATTATGTTCTTGTGACAGGATGTGTCAATAATTGTGCTTTAATTGAGGCTTTATTGAAGTTTCAGTGGAGGAAAAAATCTGCAGGTCATTCAAGATCCACAACAAAGACAGCGTCTTCACAAAGGAGCAAAGAAAGATTTGCAGGTGTGTGCACTCTCATTGAAACACTGCACAAAGCATCAGCTTTTGTTTTAATTATTTTTAATTCAGATGTCAGATTGTTAACCACTGACTGTTTCCTTGTGTTTCCTGGGCTGTTTTAGTCAAACTGAACATGCGTTCTACAGGATCTTTGTCACATTAGATAAAAGCAATAATGATCAGGAGTCTGTGATAAGATGCTCTTTGTTTTTTTTAATGTACAAGATGGGTAATAAATAATTATTAAAGAAAGAAAATTAAAACATTCCTGAAAAACCTATAATTTTAACCCTTAATTCATTAAGACCTGGAACATCTACTGTATGCATGCGACCAGGAAGCACATCAGAGCTTCATGGCTTAAACGTTGTATTGATTCTGAAATATTTCCTAAGATATTTATCATGATGAAAACCTAAAAAGTGCATGCTTATAGTTTAATTCATGCATGCAGGGGCATAACTTTCAAATCTGCAAAACCTTTGGAAAAGATGCTGATGTGTTGGAGGAGCAAAAAATATGCTTTTGTGCCCATATTATAATTCAAATGATTGTCCATTTATATTTGTACGTAAATAACAGAGTTGTTGAAAATAATGAATGCTACTGATATCTTTTTGTACATTGACATAACATGATTCCCTCCCATTTTGGAGAATTAACGTTGGTGCAAGTTTAAATGGTCCTTGTGATGGTGCTTATTCTGATTCTGGCTGCAGCTATAATCGATCTCAAGGAGTTCATAGGAGCGCTGGATTGATCTGATTGGATCAGAGAGATGCAGAAATGTGGCCCTAGCATGGCAAAGGTAGAGAGGCCCCTGAGGAAAGATCCTCCTTTGAGTTACTCATGACCTGAGCTGAAATTACCTGGATGAGACGGCTTGCGCGTGTTTAAAAATAAATCTTCATCTGTTTTATAGTACTCTAGTTTGTGTTTTGTATTATAAAACTTCCATGACAGTCAGTATTTCATCTTTCCCCCTTACGTTATTTTCTCTTGCAGTTTACATTGAATAATTCCTTTGCACTTGTACTCTGATGAACTGTATACCACCTTCAATTTTTGTGTTAATGCAATTTTCAAAGTGTATTTATAATATTGTATACTGTACTCAGCTCTGAATTGCAACTTTATAATACAGTAGTACACTAATGTACCTAAACTATATTTCCTGAAGTACGATACTTAATATTTTATATTTGATTACACCTGAAACTTAATTTCATGTGACAATTTTACTTATACATTTAAAAAGCTATTCTACATTTTTTTTGCTCTTCATATTTTTGGTTAATTTACATTAAACAAAAAGTTGAAGAATTGAGTATTTTATCTCCACTTGATGTCGCTTGTACACAAAACAAACTTTATTTTGCTAGACTTTGACCAGAATGCTCCCTTCTCGTTCCAGCATAAAATACAGTAAATTACAGCTATGTTTGATTTTAAGTCGCTTCGCAGCGACTTTGACTACGTGCATCCTGTAGAGGTAAAAAGAAAAACATCTCCACACAGAAGCGAAATTTGGCCTTGTGAGCCGCTAAAACGTTAGATTTTTAATGTTTAATGTGTATTCGATTTTGCTTTACTCCTGTATTTCCCAGTTTCAACTGAACGCCACATGAGTTCCTACTCCAATCCAGGCTGGAGCAGGGCGGGGCTTTCCATCCGTTACGTCCCGACTTTTCCAACTGCCGCGTCACATCGATATCATGGCGTAGCGATGAGGTGGGACGTAGAGCCGAACTGGTGGACACGAAAAAGTTGCGAAACTATTAATGTGGAGTTTTAGGTTTATTTTAAAGACCACAAACCAGAAGAAAATCTGATTTTTTTCGAGTGGAAGTGTGGTAAGAGACTTGGTTTTTGTGTATTGTGGAGGCAGAGATTTTTTAACGTAAATGTGGGTGTCTCGCGCGCATGATTGCGCTAATTTATTTTACGTAGTAACTTTCAACGGCTAGTTTTTTTTTTGTCTTTAACGAGGAACATGGAGTCTGGAGGAGTTCAGAGGTCACTTTTATGGGTCGGTCTTTGTTTCTGTAAGCTACCAGGTAGCGGTAGTTAACAAATGTCACTTTTGATTCATGATTTTGTTTTCAGCCCAGTGAAAAAGTTGATAATAATCTCTCTGTAACGTCGTTGATGAAAAAGTAATCAACTGTGACTTACATCTCCGGATATGTGGTCACTATGCCCAATGAAACCGCCTGAAGGCACCTTCTGTTTAAATGTTGCATGGTCTTCAAATCAGCCACATTTTTTTCCCAGAGGGCTTTTTTTTGCTTAGTTAAATAGATTAAAGGGCCACAGACACTGAATTGAAAAAATACACAAGCACAGTTTGCTACCTGGACCTGCTTTAAACGCCTTATCATTTGTAAAAGCATAAGGTTTGCTTTGTTTAGCCTGTATAATAACGCATTTATGCACAATTTTAGATGTAAAAAAATTTTTTTTGTCCCATTTTTCTCTGATGACAAGCTAGTATCAAAGTGCTTGGTTGAAACCGTATAATTTCCTTATAATAAGCATACTGCTTATGAACTTGTGTGAGTTGATTTGGACATCTGCTTTTAGGTTTAAAAAGTGCAACACTTCGAGTCAGTAAGAAAATCAGTTACAAACTTGACAACAAAAAGTATTTTAGGTCGAAACATAAGTCTGGCTTTCCTTTGTAAACTGTTAAAAAGACATATAAAACTGGTCTTAACAGATTTAACATCTTGCTTTACACCAATGAAGGTTTTTCTTCTTCTTGGTCCTCGAGCCTAAATTTGCCTACATGTGCTTTAAATGTTTTGTATGTCCTTGTGTATTGAAGTGAATTAGATTGCAAAGTTCATTGTTTGGAAATTATTAATAGTCATGTGAAACTTGATCAGTCGTATTGCCTCCTAACTGACCTCAAAAACGTTGCCAAAAAAATCAACAGAACTGCTTGCAAACCAAACACCACATTTTCAGTCTTGTGATAACTTTGCTACAAAATTTATCCTTTGCATCAGTCACATTGTGGGAAATTTCCCAGAGTTCTTGCTGTAGTTTCCTCCGGCCTTTAATGCAGCAAGGAATTCACTGAGGAAGAGTGCTCCGAAACAAACTACAGATCGAGCAAAACAACTGCACGGAGAGCTTGTCGTTTGTGCCACATGTGCACAGTCCAGCAGTACCCTTTTCTGCCCTCGTAGTATACCTCAGACATGATAACGTTGTAGTTTTAATCGAGTTAAGACGCAGCTTGTGCGTCAGATGAAAAGAATGTGTGCAGCTGTCCAACATAAACTAATCTCTGAACCTGTGTGTTCACGCAGGAAAGATTTTATTACATTAAACTTGATGTTTTTCCAATCACTTAATTTCCATTTTGGGCGCTCACATTGTAAAGCCTTTGTACTAAAAAGAATTCCTCACTTTTACATTGTTATCTTGCTTTGCCACAGGACTTGTTATTTGGGGTTGCCTCGGAGTTTGAAAATAACTCCTGGTTATTCTGGAGCTGGCGTCTGAAAACCCAAACCTTGTTTACACAGAGTAAATCATAAGAGACTGCCTCAGAACGAACTGGTTAAATGCCTTTAAGAAATGTATATTGTATTGTTTCCTGTTTGAGGTGAAACTTGATGATGTGTTAGGATTTAGTTTTTCTCATGGAATCACTGCAGAGGTGAAACTGAGCCAAGGTCTGTCTGTGTGAGTCAAAACATAGAAAGTGTCATTATGTGGAAACTACTCTGTCATGTTCTTGGAAATCATTACATTAGAAGTAAAAATAGAAAATAGCTTCATGCTTGGTTTGTAAATTCCTCCTTCACGTCAACTCGTTCTCAAACAGAGGCTGTTAAAGTAAACCACGTTGTGACTCTGAACTCCTCTTTTTGAGACACGAGACCCCCGGGCTTTTATAACTTTTATTTAATGCTGTTTCCTGTGTGTGCGTGTGCAGAGGAGAGTTTATGAGGAATTGCTGGAATTCTCAGGCCAGAAATACTTGAGCTGTCAGTAGATTGTCAAGAAAAGACAATTCTCTGCCTTAAAGAGAGCAGTGTTGTAGGATTTAAAGCAGTTCTAGAGCTCCACTTACCCTCTTGTATTCATTAAAAGTAAAAGGCCAAGTGCTTTTTGTAAATGTTTTGTCCTTTTAGTTAAGCGTTACAAAAAATTTTTACTCAAAAATTAATATTTCACATTTTTTTGAAACTGCAGTCTGCAGTCTATTCTGACTCATTTTGCCTGCATGGGTCACATGCTTTGATTTGGAAGCAGGCAGGTGATGTAAACATCTCTAACCAGCGCTGCATGCCTCAGACAAAATACAAGTACAAAATGATGACAAAAAGGCGCTCTCTTTGTTTTGGTGTAACTGATACTCAAAGAAAAGCAGACAACGAGATGTTGATTTTGGAGAGGACTCATTTGATAACAAACTTGCAAAGACTAAATAAACTTTAACAGCATATAGTTTGAAAATTTCTTCAGATAACTTTATCTGAACTGAGCAGTTTTGATGATTTACTTTAAAAAAGATTTTTGCAACAGCTGTATTTATCTACCTAGTCAGTGTGAACAATGAATGTTTGTGCGTGCGTCTCCAAGGGTTCCTGAGAGTGATGATATTCCCTTTTAATTATTGTCTTAACACGTGGCGAACAATTGATTCCTTAATCAAGAAAATAATCAGTAGTTTAGTTTCAGATCTAAAAGGCATTACGGCCTTTGCTCTGGAAAGACAACACAGACAAGTCACCTTGTTTGAGTGTAAGACAGACTTCCTGTGTTTACATGTGACTGCTGCTCCAAATGAGCTGTCCAAGTCTGGAGCGCTCCTCTTTGTAATTAAATATTCTTTCTGCTTTGGGTCAGTTCTTGAGAATGAAGCCTAGCAAATGCTCATTGAGGTGCTTCTGCATGTGTTGAGGGCTGACTGACACATGGACAGCATGCCTGGACCTGGACCTGCTGCGTTTGAAGTGTGTTTGCTGAAAGCCAAGTGTTAACTACACTCATATTTACACTTCCCCAGCGAGAGAAGAACTCCGTTTCAAGATGCCCTGCAGGCCTTCATTCCTTCGTTTAGTCACAACAAACCCTGCTTTTGTTCAGCTGCTGGGTTTATGATATTCTGTTCGGGGAGTGTCTTAAATGACAGTCATTCACTTTTCTGAGTTGAGATAATGCAACGTGTATGAATTATTTAAGTTTTCACAAAGTGAACATTTTATTTTATTCTGTAGTGTATATAGTGGACTTGTCTTAATCTTAGCTTCTGTGATGGTTCAATAAACTACCGGTAGTTATTTATCTAAATATTTTTCATTCAACCTTTCTTTAGACGGGTAAATCCCATTGAGCCTCGAGGACTCATTTACAAGAGAGACCTGATTTCAACAAAGACTGATGACAAGAGTGGACAACAACGACAACAATAGACCGTTATAAAAAGGCATACAGATTTTAAAAAAATATAATAATAATAATAATAAATATGCTAAACTTAAAATATTTAAACAAGATATGTTGAGAAATGAAGGACTTACAATCATTTTGATCAAACCTTGACTTGAGATAAATTGCTAAGATATTTAGTACACAGTACATTATATTAGTTATCACAAATACTAAAATCTTAATGACTTTGAGTTGCATTAACTCCTAAACAGTTATTTAATGGTATAGAAATAATGTTAAAAGTATAAAAATTAAAATAAAAAACATTTTAAATTCACATTTTTTACATCTATCATTGCTTTAAGCAAATAGGCAAAAGTTTCATGCTACAAATTGTTGCTCATCTTCTGTCACATCAAATTATTGCTTAATATCTGTTAAACTAAGTTGTAGCCATTTTTTTTGTCTTTCCTAAATTCATTTGGCTGTGGCAGCCATCTTGAATGGAATTAATTTATTCCAAAAATGTATAACTTATAAACACACTAACAAAACATTGGTTCATTTTTGGCCTCAGCATAATATAAAAATGCTGAGTTTCATAACTAGTGAATGATTTGTCAAATTTGCAATCAAAAGTTGATGTTAAAAGCCTTAATAATAGGAAATAATGTTGGTTAAATGAGAGACAAATGAACAGAAAATCCACATCGCTTTTGATTTATTCACATAATCTGAGTTTATCCTTAAAAAGGTTTCAGTGACTCTGGAAATAAGGGAAAACCTAAAAAATGATTCACATTTTCCAAACAGGGAAAACTGAGAGAGTTTGAACACTGATCTGTTGATTAAAAGATGATATTTGAGATTTTCATGTGTTCATGTATTAATGTTAGTATTTTAGTATCATTGAGTTCATGTTCAGGTTGTACAGTGTACATAAATATTGATTGGTTTGGTGACTTTTTAGTTATAAATATTTTTTAAGAATGATAGCCATATGCACGTATAGGCTACAGTATAACTGTCATCTTTGAATGTGACTTCCCGTCACCTAAGATATTAAGTTTTGAGCATTGCATGTGACTAAACTATTTTGTTGAATTTCAGGATTTAGTCAGGAAATTTTTGTTTTCATGAAATGCTGGGAATCTTGCCTTTTCAGACATTACAAATATAAAAAACTAACTTAACGTTTGATTCAGATTTGGTTATTTGCTTGTTTTTTAAGTCATGGTTGTGTTCCTGTAAAAATGTGGAGCGAGTTGCTGCTGCAGACAGCCTGGGAGAAGCATGTTTACTGCCATTAAGAGTTTTATTGGTGGAAACCGCTCAGCAGTTACTGTGACACACTGGTTTCTCTCCTCTCTTTTCTCCCTGCTGCATGTTGTGACGAAGCTTGTGTTTCCCTGCATGCTTATTTTACACATAATGGAAAGGTTAACCATAGAAATGCTGAAATAACCGTTCTGGGGTCTGTGGGTGGTTTCCATAAAGTTCGGAAAATGGTCGGGCACTCCCAGGATTTGAGGAAACCAAAAGATGTTCATTTGTGTACACAGATATAGAGGAAAAAAAACTTTCATAGAAAACTGGGATGCTATCTGTTTAAGCGGATGTCACAAAGTAAAACACTAAAATATATCTTCACGTGGCCCCAGAGTTTCCCACTGACAGCATTACTCCCACAAAAATGTGTCTGACCTTTCCTACATCAACTCAAGAAATCAAACTTTTATTAAGCTTCTATTTAAGTCTGTTTTTTAACTTGCTTTTAGTAAAGTTATCTTGTAGCTGTTGGTGTGATCCATAAATTGGCATTTTTTTGTTTTACAAGTCGACCCCATTGAGCAGGCCTGCTATTTAACCAACCAGACTTCTTCTCTTAGAACTAAGATGTTGTAAAACAGCCTAACTACAGGGTGGGGAAACATTTTTTTGTTAAAAATATGCTCAGTACCAAGGTTACTGCTCTGTAACTGCTTTGCTGAATTTGTAGATACAGTACATTACAAGCACACATAACAGCAGCTGCAGGAAGTTTTTTTATTTTAAGACAAAAATTCCAAGCACTACAGACTTTTTGACAGATTAAATACAGTGATGATGAATTTTAAGTTTTTATTTGAAGCAGTTCAGTACTTTAATGTTTCCTGTGACCGTTGCTTTTAAAGGTTTATAGGTGACTGAAGATGATGTCCGATGCCAGTGACATGTTGGCTGCTGCCTTGGAGCAGATGGATGGCATAATAGCAGGTAAATTCTCCTAAACTTCAGCACTTTTGCATCTTTATTTTAAGTACTGAAATCACTCAAAGTAGTTGTGTTGTATAAAATAGCCAAGTCTCTGATTAAAACGTTCTCTTTTTAATGTTTTTATAAGACATGCCTGGAGCTACTCAGTTTGGTTGTGTGATTTTATTAATTGTAAATATTTTCTGTGTTCAGTATTATTTTCTTATTTAATAGAGAAAGAAATGCTAAACTAGTGTTTTATTGAAATTATATAGGAGTCAAGGAGTTGAGTAAAAAGAAATTAGGATTTTTTTAAATTTATTTATACTTTATAATAAATTGTTAGGTGCACTTTAAATCCAGTTTCAATATGAAACAAAATCAAACATCCAGTGCTCTCATTGACAGACATAAAAGTATGATTATGTCACCTCCCTGTGTATGCTGGCTTCCTGTCCATTACAGGGTTTAGTTTCAAATGTTAGTCCTGGTTTTTAAACCTTTACTGGTTTGGCACCACCTTACCTGGCTGAACTTCTGTATATTCACACTCCAACCAGAACCCTGAGGTTCACAAGTCAGTTGATTTTGGTCACTCTCAGATCTAAACTCCAATCCAGAGTTTACAGAGTATTTTCATCAATGGTCAGACTGTTAATTTCATAAATGCAAGTCGAAAACGTATTCCTCTTGACTGGCTTTTAGTTCTTGATTGATTGATTGATTGATTTTTTATTGTCAATTCTGCATATGTACAGGACATACATAGAAATTGAAATTGCGTTACACTCCTACTCAAATTGCATTCAATTCTTGTTGAGCAAGACATGATATTCATGTACAAGTTTAAATGATGTGTCCATTTTTTTCACTTTAGTATTTTTTTAATTGTTTTATTTTACTGCTGATTCTTTACCCTTTAAAGCACTTTGATTATAAGACAGTTTTATTTTGACTTGACTTTGTATGATTAAGTTTATTCTTCCAGTCATTCTTCTGTGTTGCTTTGTTTCAGGCTCAAAGACACTGGACTACTCCAATGGTTTGTTTGACTGCCAGTCGCCCACGTCCCCTTTCATGGGTAGCTTGAGGGCGCTTCACCTTTTGGAAGATCTGAGAGGTGTTCTGGAAATGATGGACACAGAGGAAAGGGAGAGTTTACGCTGCCAGATCCCCGACTCCACAGCTGACAATCTGGTTGAGTGGCTCCATGGGAACATGGTAAGAGGCTTTTGTGTAAAAAGATGATAAAAGATGAGGGTGTGCAGCGTTGGACTTAAGATAGGAGTGTGCTTTGTGAATACAGGATTAGTTACAGAATGCTTGTTAACAAAGATCACAAAGTTTTCGCTGACTGCTTATGGCACATCATTTTGGAATATTTATGAATGAATATTCTCTCTCTCTCTCTCTCTCTCTCTATATATATATATATATATATATATATATATATATATATATATATATATATATATATATATATATATATATATATATAT